CTGCTGGCTAATCCTTCTGCTGGCTCCTGGCAAGGAGCTCCTGTCCAACGAACGCTTGTCACGTCGCCGCCAAATCTGTTTTCCTTCCCTCCCTGCGGTTTCACATTTTTTCTCGCCAAGAAAACGAGATACATCACTGTCGTGTGTCTGCGGCGGAATGCGAGCTTCCATTAAATTCGGGCCACAAACAGCGGAAGCCACGGAGGCGAGGCCCGCTCTCTGCCCCTTGCTCCTCCGCTTCACGCTTCCGTTTTTCGCGCTCGCCTCCCAGCTGGCTGTGGAAACATTCAGACACGGCCACTTTCGCCATCATCCGCACTCAGCCACGGCCATTCGCTTCCCGGCATTAAAGCCCTCCCGCCTGCCAGCCGGCCACTGTAATTCTATTAGGGCTGTGGGGCAATTCCATCCCAGACTGCGGCCCTCCCCCGCCACCAGCCAGCCAGACAGGACCCCTGTGGGTTGAACTTTAACTCTGCTCTGGAAAGGACAAAGGATTCCACCTTTAAAATAGGTAATTGGTGGAAATTGAAAAGCTCGAGCATGAAATTCTTAAAGAGCAGCCAGGTCCTAGCTGGCCACGCTGACCATCTCCTGGGCTCTCCAGCCCCTGTTCACTCCTGGTGGCTGCCATTTCACATTTTCATCTTTCCGCTGTGTGCACTCTGTGGAGGTGGCTTTCGCCCCTGCCCTTCTCCAAGCGGGGCTCTGGTCCAACCCACCCTGCCCAGTCGAGTGGCGCGTTAGCTGTCATCATCGAATTACGGCCGCCTTTGTGTCTAGGTCTTGTCTTCGGGCCCGCCCCAAACCCAAACTACATTGCGGACGAGCTGCGCCTTCTGGCCGATCGCTCTCTTGCGGGCTCTTAGCCGGCGGGTCTCTTAGTTCGCACCTCTCCGCTCGCTGGCTCTCCGGCCGCGGTGTCTCCGCAAATCACGTATACGCCGCGTAGATCGCAGACACAGCCGGCAGTCGCGATAGAGTCGCACGCGCATAAGCAAACCGAAAAGTGCCGCGGAGGAAGCAGGCCGCGTCTGAATGGAACACCTCGAATACTGACCCTGCGATAGTGAGCAACATGGCAAAGGTGGTACTGAGCGACCGGGAGCGGGAGGAAATCGTCCGCACCCTCACCCGGGATGTGCAGTCCCTGAAGGAGATGGTGCAGTGCCGGGAGAGCGAGCTGGGCAAGCTGCACCGGGAGATCCACAAGCTGAAGGTACGGAAGGGGGATGGCCATGCAGCCAAATAACCAGGTAGCCAGATACCCAGATACCCAGATACCCAGATAGCCAGCTAGGCCAGGTGGGGAAAAGCCATCCATCGCTGTCTATCGCATCGCAGAGGTTTGTTTGCTTTCATTGGTCCGACCGACTGGTCGGATGGTTGGTTGGTTTGTTTGCTGCCTGTGGCAGATAAGCAGGAGTCACTTTTTCGGAATAATTCCGAATTCGCTTTGTGTATCGCAGAGATAGAAAAGTATCTGCAAATACGCAGCACCCCGCCCGCCCCACCTAATTGCGTCGCACTCTGTTATCTGGCGTCGAAACAGCAGCAGACGCTGCCAGATATCAGAGATACACCCGAGTGCCTACCCCACTGAACCGCAGGTGGGGGCGGGGGGGGAGGCCCAACTAACCCATGCCCTTGGTGCGGTCGGTATCTGATAGATATCCATGTGTGTCTACGCTCGTGCTGCTCCCCATCCCATCCGCGAGCTCAGACCGTAAGATTTATTGAGCCAAGCGATTAGCACTTCTTGGCGAGATCGCTTAGCGCCGACGGACGGAACGGGTCTGGCGCAATTGGGCAGCTGGGGGGCGGTGGGAGGAGGGCCTGCTCCCCAGGGGCGAATCGAATAGTGGTGGTTACTGCATTGTTTTGGGTTGTTGGATAACAAGATTCGAATCTGGAAGGAATGGAAGAGACAGATCGAGACTTAATCCCCGATGGAGATCGTTACTGAGATGTAACACCACTCGGCTCTCGCGAGCGTGTCGCTAATTGCCGGATCACCTCCAGATTCGATCCAGCTACAGCTTCGATCCGAGGGAAGGTCTCCCCCCACCGCCCATCCCGCGGTGTGCTGGAAGTAAACAAAGCCCCGAGATACCCACTGAGATATGTGGTTCCGACCGGGCAGCACGCGCAGCCCCGCCGACTCGAAAGAAAGGAAATGCGAGCTGGGCCTGCGGAGAATGTTTTTGAAATGCTAATTTCCATGCAAATAATTTGGAAAACAAGCCAGAGGTTGGGTTAGCAGTCGCGGGGAGGTGGGGAGGTAACACCTCGCCCTGGCATTCGGCTTATCTTGTTTACCCTCCAGAACATTGGGTGTACTGGGTGACTAGCTCTTTTGAGGGCGGCGCATCGGATTTGCCCTCGTTGGCGGCGTTTATCTTTATCTGAGCCGCTTTCTGGGTCAGTGCCTACAGGGACGCCTAGGAACGCACCCAATTAGCATGCACTGGGAAAAAGCAGGGGCTTCTTTGAATAATATTGAAATTAGCTAAGACTATACCCACCCTTCTCTTCATCCCTTTCTTCAGAGCGTGCTCCAGCAGACCACCAACCATCTGAACGTGACCCGGAATGAGCGACTGCAGCACTCCCAGAAGTCCAAGCTCTACTCCCTGCCGGAGCAGTGCGACGAGGAGGAAGCCGGTGCCAAACGGGATCCCCATGTGTGCATCTCCTGCGGCATGGTGCTGCCCACGAGTCCGGAGTACGCCCTGGAAGCCCTGACGCTGGACCCGCTGCCCATTGCCTCGATATCCTCAGCCCGCTCCCCACCAGCCTCACCAGCTTCCACGTCTGAAGAGTTGAAAGAGGAGATGCGACCCAAGCCCGTGCCGGCGGCCATCAAGAAGCAGGGCGTCTCCGCCGAGAGCTGTGTCCAGTCCATGCAGCAGTCCTACAGCATGCCGATCCCCAAATACGACAAGGACTACAGGTGAGTCGGGGTCGGGGGTCACGCCTTCTTCAAGTCTAACAGTATTCTTTAGCGACAAGCAGCAGATCAAGGACGCCGTGATGGACAACGACTTCTTGAAGAACATAGACGCCTCGCAGGTGCGCGAGCTGGTGGACTCCATGTACCCCAAGAGCATTGCCGCCGGCGAGTTTGTGATCCGCGAGGGAGAGGTGGGCGCCCACCTGTACGTCTCCGCCGCCGGAGAGTTCGCCGTGATGCAGCAGGGCAAGGTGCTGGACAAGATGGGCCCCGGAAGGGCCTTCGGGGAGCTGGCCATACTCTACAACTGCACCAGAACGGCCTCCATAAAGGTTCTCAGCGAGGCGGCCAGGGTGTGGGTGCTCGACCGGCGCGTCTTCCAGCAGATCATGATGTGCACTGGCCTCCAGCGCATCGAAAACAGTGTCAACTTCCTGAAGTCCGTGCCTCTGCTGAGGAACCTCAGCGAGGAGCTGCTGGCGAAGATTGCGGACGTTCTGGAACTGGAGTTCTACGCTGCGGGAACGTACATTATCCGCCAGGGCACCGCCGGCGACACCTTCTTCCTGATCTCGCAGGGAAATGTCCGGGTGACCCAGAAGCTGGCGGCGAGTTCCACGGAGGAGACCGAGCTGCGCACTCTGGCCCGTGGCGACTACTTCGGGGAGCAGGCTCTGATCAACGAGGACAAGCGGACGGCGAACATCATCGCCCTGCCGCCGGGCGTGGAGTGCCTCACCCTGGACAGAGACTCCTTCAAGCGACTGATCGGGGACCTCTGCGAGCTGAAGGAGAAGGACTACGGGGATGAGAGCCGCATGCTGGCCATGAAACAGGCGGAAGGCGGCAGCCAAGCAGAGCAGCCCAAGACCTCGCGGGCGGAAATGGAGTTCCCCGATCTCAAGCTGACGGACCTGGAGGTGATCAGCACCCTGGGCATTGGAGGCTTTGGGCGCGTGGAGCTGGTCAAGGCGTACCACCAGAACAGGATCGACACCTTCGCCCTGAAGTGCCTGAAAAAGCGGCATATTGTGGACACCAAGCAGGAGGAGCACATCTACAGCGAGCGGCACATCATGCTCAGCTCCAAGTCGCCGTTCATTTGCCGGCTGTACCGCACCTTCAGGGATGAGAAGTACGTCTACATGCTCCTGGAGGCCTGCATGGGCGGCGAAATCTGGACGATGCTCCGCGACCGGGGCTCCTTCGAGGACAATGCGGCCCAGTTCATCATCGGCTGTGTGCTGCAGGCGTTCGAGTACCTCCACGCCCGGGGAATCATATACCGCGACCTCAAGCCAGAGAACCTGATGCTGGACGAGCGCGGCTACGTGAAGATCGTGGACTTTGGCTTCGCCAAGCAGATTGGGGCGAGCGCCAAGACCTGGACGTTCTGCGGCACCCCTGAGTATGTGGCTCCCGAGATTATCCTGAACAAGGGCCACGACCGCGCAGTGGACTACTGGGCCTTGGGCATTCTCATCCACGAGCTGCTCAACGGGGCGTAAGTATACTCGCACCCATCCAATTGGACACAAATTCATTCGAGTCTCGATTCCAGTCCCCCGTTTAGTGCCCCGGACCCCATGCAGACGTACAACCTCATTTTGAAGGGCATCGACATGATTGCCTTCCCCAAGAACATCTCCCGCTGGGCCGTGCAGCTTATCAAGCGACTCTGCCGGGACGTTCCTTCGGAGCGACTGGGCTACCAGACCGGAGGCATCCAGGACATCAAGAAGCACAAGTGAGTATGCTGTCTTCAGGCTTGACTATAACCATTACCTCATAATTATCCTATAGATGGTTCCTGGGCTTCGACTGGGACGGATTGTCCAGCCAGCTCCTCATCCCGCCTTTTGTGCGGCCCATCGCCCATCCGACAGACACGCGCTACTTCGACCGCTTCCCGTGCGATCCCACCGAGCCGCCAGACGAGCTCTCCGGCTGGGATGCGGACTTTTAGCAGCGATGGACCCCACTCCCACTCCACAACCTGCCCATCGTAGATCTGCCCTTTATTGCTTTACCTAGAAGAAGCTCGGAATCCGTTTCACCGACCATTTTAATAACTCACTCCTCCCGCTCAACAAAGTGGTCGTGCTGGTTGGCTGCCAGGACCTGACACATCTGCGCACATCGACCTATCAAGGGCTGGTACACCTGCACGCATCCAGGCGTCGGCTCCGCCGCCAGCGTCAGCCCGTCTGGCACCTTCTTGAAGAACTCGTCGAAGCTAAGCTTGGACGTCCGGTCGTAGGACCGGCAGGACCGACAGTTGCAGGCGCACTCACGGTGCTCGTAGAATGCGTACCGAGCCCGAAACACCGCCCCCAGCAGGCAGGCCTCGGGTCCACTGCGCTGGTACACCCGCGTGTTGAAGACGTCAGCCACTATTTGGAGAATGCGGGGGTTACTCGAATCGGAGCCCACCACTATCACCTTGGTGTTCTCGTGCGGAGAAAAGCCCATTTCGCGGGCGACAGCGCAGTGGTGCATGATCTGACCCTCGATCACGGCACGCACCTCGGTCTCTGGCAGCTCGAACTTCGGAAGCCCGCGCAGGGACTCCTGGGTCATAGGGTCAATATCGGCGTCCCACCGCAGCGTGCCCTGGGCGCTGGGTACGATCTCCCGGTCAAGGAAGTGGATGGCCACATTACCGTTGTTGCCCATAGGTGTGTCGTCCAGCATCTGGTTGAAGCTTTCCCAGCTGCCATTCGCTGCATCCCTGCAAACAGTCTTTCTGGGCACCGACCCATTTCGGAAGCAGAGCAAGCCCATAAACTCATCAGGACGTGTTGGATGGATCAAAACGTGACCTTCGTACATCACCGGAGCGACTTTCAACGGCATCAATATGGCGTCACTCGTGCCCAGGGAAAGCATAAGGTAGTCTGTCAGTCCCGGCAGTCCGGCCATCTCTGAAGCCTTGCTACCAACACACGCCGCAACCATACAGTCCGGTCGAAAGTTCCAGCGCTGGACGTAGTAGTTGGCGATCCGCCCCTGCAGTCGCGAAGATGCTATTGGCTTCATGAGACGTCGGGCCAGATCGGGAGCACACGCATCCAGACATATCTGCGACCACTCTTTCGTGTGAATGTCGAGCAGGTTCATGCCGCTACCGTCCGTAAAATCTATGGCGGCCATACCGCCGATGAGCAGCGATGCCAAAAAGCTAGAAAGCAAGGAGATTCTACTGGTGCGTTCGTAATGCTCAGGACACTTTCGAAACACCTTTCTGATCTGCGGCCCAGTGTAACGAGCGTGCGCCCGGGATCCTGTTATGGCTGCCATTTCGGCAGACCCACCCACCGCATGCTCCATTTCGCGTACCTGGACGTCTGTGGAGAAGTCCCGCCAAGTAGGCGTGCGCGTCAACTCAAAAGCCTCGTCTGTCAACTGCTCGTGGAGGCGAAAGATTGCGTTGAGGTTACATAGCCGGCGCAACCCCATATCGGACCAGTAGATGGAACCATGCTGCTGGGCTGCTCCGCCAATGGCTACCACCGAGTGCAGGTCAGCCCCCTGTGTTGCCAGGGATTCGATCAAAATATCCAACGACTTCACCCACATTACGGGATTGCATAGATACTCAGCAGAACCAGCGATTTTAATAACACCATTTTTGGTTCCGAATTCTGGCAAGTCTACATCATAGTTAACCACAGACTCGTAAGTTACCTTTAATTCGGAATCAACGATCACGGCACGAATACGTTGGGAACCCAGATGGATCCCGAGGTAACTGTTTCTACTGGAGTCAACGGAGCGTCGATGACACATTTGATAGGAGGAAAGGCCCTAAAAATGGTATCTGAAACTCTTAATTTTCATTTGGCGAAAAATCGAAAGCAATTTTTACTAGGATAGCAATTTAGTCGACAGGTTATACTAAGCAGCTGTGAAACCTAATAAACTAAGCGTTTTGGTTTTGTCTTTTATTTTTAGATAGAAAGATAGTGTGATCAGAAACGATAATCTGACACAATTTGGTCACACTAATTTTGATTTACAAATAATGTTGGCCACACTAATTTAGAAATTTTAAAAGTAAGGTCACACTCATACAGAACGTTACATATACGGTCACACTAATTTTGAACACACTAATATAGAAGGTGGAATACGGTCACACTAATTGTGAATTTTCCAGACAGGGCCACGCTAATTTTTAATTTAAAAAATACGGTCACACTAATATACGGTCATACTAATATATGGTCACACTAATATACGGCCACACTAATATACGGTAACACTAAATACGGTCACACCAATATACGGTCATACTAATATATGGTCACACTAATATACGGTCATACTAATATATGGTCACACTAATATATGGTCACACTAATATACGGTCATACTAATTTTTACACTAAAAAAAAAATTAGTGTGACCGTATATTAGTGTGACCGTATAAATGAAATTCTTAATTAGTGTGACCGTATTTTTTAAATTAAAAATTAGCGTGGCCCTGTCTGGAAAATTCACAATTAGTGTGACCTTATTTTCTAAATTTTTCAAATAAAAAACGAAAACCTCCTTTTCAGTATAGGTGGTTTTCGAATCTGGCCAAACTAATGTTTGTTCTGCATTAGTGTGGCCAGATTGTTAGTGTTAGTACAAATCTGATCGTTTTTATTTAATGTTGTTGTTATGAAAGCTTAAATAAGGTTAAATAAATATAAAAACTAATTAAGGCTGAGACTGTGTTATCCGCCGTTGTTCAGTGATCTTGAATTGCAGCAATACGACCAGATAGGTGGCCATGAAGGAGATATTGGTGGTGATCAGTTCCCGATTGATATTCGCGTATCCGTCCAGATTCATGATCGGTGGGTTTTTGTTAATGGCCACCAGCAACATTTCCACCTCCTTCTGCGTGGCCGCGTCCACTGCGGTTAGGTTAATGTTGAGAAGCTTTGTTTGAAAGTCCAGGCCCACCTTACGCGACGCATAATGTGCTTCGTTGCAGATGATGTACAAGAGACCCATGCAGTAGAACACAATCACGAAGAGACCCACCTCCTTGTAGGTGGCTCCGTGGTCAATAATCTCGCTGATGCTGCCGTACGTAGCGATGATCGTCGTGAAAAAGATGACCAGACAGTACATGCCATACATGTTGGAGTAGGCGCGTCCTAGCTGTTGCATCATATGGCTCAGGTCAACCCACAAGTGCCGGTACTCGGTAAGCTTCTGGGCAGGCTTCTCACCGCGAATGGTCATCTGCAATGCATCAGAGAGGGCCCTACTGGCGGTGCCGAAAGCGTTGCAGTTGATATACCTGTCCCAGAAACAAAGTACATTACCATAAATACCCATTTCATTTCTGTCCTACAAGTATGCTGGTTTACTCACCAAAGGCTGCAGAAGCAATTGAGCATGGCGATGATGGGGTAGTAGGCGAAGGTGTACCACAACCGGAAATCCGGCTGAAGAAAGTATTGCGAGAGGTTAATGGCGATGCTGAGAAGCCAGGAGAAGACGCACAGCGACCAAGTCAGCGGGTAAAGGTTCGGGAACACGATGGGCGATCCAGTGGTCTTGAAGAACTTGTACTGATAGTTCGTCCACATATTCTTGAATATCGCCACCTGGGGCCCGTGCCTCCAACTGGCTACCGGCAGCAGGAAGTTTGTGAACAGGAGGCTGATGAAGATGACGTTGTATATGGCCTCGTCGAAGCGTTTGTCGGGGCTGGTGACGAATTTCTTCACCCGCTCGCGGAGAACGAGCACCACAATGGTGGTCTGGCAACTGTAGATGAAAATAGCCCACATCACCTGCTTGGAGCCCCAGGAGTAGCCAGTGCGGGGCAGGTTTTTTACCGGCGGGTTCCGGTGGATGGGCATCACCCCCATGATCTGGAAAAGCACCAGCAGGCTCTTTGTGGTGTGGTAGAAGGAGTCATGCTTGTCCAGCTCCAGCGGATCGTCGACTGTCTCCTGCTTTCGGACATACACCTCCTCCATGGCATCGCCGCGGGCCATCAGCTTGAGCTTCTCGCGGTAACGTACCTCGTCTTCCAGGAACTGGCGCTGGTTGGGATTCAGCATGGGCACCACCTTCGAGGGTGGGGTCGTGCCGCGGCTGACTGCCCAGAACGACATCCTGATCCTTCGAACACTACAAAGTTTGGCGCTCGGCGCCCCTCGACAAAGCCGCTTTTATACTCCTCCATTGAACACCTCTGGCGGATGGGGGGCAGTCCTTGCTATTGACTTTCGATTGAAAGGTAAACAATGGAAGGGACACGCCCAGAGGCGGCGCCCATTTGCTTGCCCTCTATTAAATATTCTCGAGACCAAGACGAGGACAACTTGGGAGATGCACTGAAAGAAATAAATATATTATATCATTGGAAATTATTTTATTAATAAATATAACTTTTTAAGATAAAAGCAGTTCTCTCTCTCTACCTGGAATAAGACTTCCAGTCTTCGAGAATCACCTTTATATTACCATAACCTCCATTAAGACTTGTTCCCCTTGATTTCTGCGAGTATTCGTTGTGGTCATTCTGCTGACATCGTCCTACTGGTGACCCGGCCAGCCACTGGCAAGGAGGAGAAGGGCTGAGAGCGCCCGGACGGAGGAGGACGTACATAAAATGCGCTTAATTTGCCGGAAATGAAAGTTTAACGATGTGTAAATGCTTACGAAAGCCGATAGAGGCTCGCACTAATGACCAATAAAAATGTGCCACCAACGGTTGGGTCCCTTTTCATCTTCGTCTCCTTCCGCCTTGGCCCATGGCCAGAGCTCTGCCTCCTCCCAGACTCCGACTCCCTGGCATATGTGTGTCTGGTCCGACTTTTGATCTATTTCTGCCTCAGATATTAAAGGTCCGGCTCGAATGGCTCTTAAGGCGCTTAAAGTCAGTTGGAAGGAATGTGGGGAAGGATAATGCTCATCCCGCTGCGCCTGGCTCCACATTTGGGATTAGTTGGCTCCTCATAGGGCGCCTTTAAAGTCAGGGTGCCATGCGAGGGAGGCAACTGTTGCACCACCCGCCTTCCTGCCCCTGGAAATCACCCTCTGGGTGTGTTTTTTGGCAACGAATCTCATTCCCATAGTTTGGCGAACTCGTCCCCTTTAATGCGAAAACTTTCAAGACAAACGACAAGCGCGACTGCATAAATAAAGTGTTTAGCTGGTTTTTTATGCCTTTCCGCGTGACATATTGTGCCCCGGAAGGGGAGTGGCTGCTAGAGTTATGGCTTAAGGAACTGCAACTCGTGCAAGTCCATCTTACAGGGCTTGAGGCAGATTTTCAATTGCAAGTCCTATGGTTTTCATCGCACTCTCTGACATCCTGTCTCCCACAATATCTCCGTTCTTGTCTTAAATGGTTAGAAAACGATGCCGTTTTGTTAATTTCTGCAGGAATTCATTTTTATTTACAAGATTTTGACTTTTGCGAGGAGCTCAGAGTTCCGAGGATCTAAGCGGATGACTCGGTGGAGCTAGACTCAGTAGAGGAGCTAGACTCAGTGGAAGAACTGCTGGAAGAAGTGCTGGCCTCGGTGGTAGAAGTGGTGCTGTTGGAGGGCAGTGTTCCATTGGGAGGCAGTCCCCATGGGCCACCGGGTCCACCCTGAGGGCCACCTGGACCACCCTGGGGACCTCCTGGACCACCCTGGGGACCTCCTGGGCCACCCTGAGGACCTCCTGGGCCACCCTGAGGACCTCCTGGACCTCCTGGACCACCCTGGGGACCTCCTGGACCACCCTGAGGGCCTCCGCGACCTCCACGGCGTCCACCTTGAGCTGCAGCCACAGCGACCAGGGCGAAGAGGGCGATCAGAATGAAGGAACGCATTGTTGTAGAGTTGGGAGTAGTGGAGCGGAAGAGTGGAGCTCGAACTGTGATGGCTGATCCCTGGCTCTGGACCTTTTATACCCCACCCGTGCGCCGCAGCAGCAGCTCTTTAGTGTCGTCACCGGGCCATCAAATAAACGTCACGTGTGATTCGGAAAACCCAGCGACGGACTAGACTGGCGGTGGCTTGTGTCGGTCTGGGTCTTGGACTCGGGCGGGCTGGTGGCAATGTCTATTCGCCGCTTTTTCTGCGTCATAGCACAGCTGCTCTTGATTCGATTCCCATTCTATCGGCGCTGCTTCTTGTTTGTGTTTGTGTTTGTCTATTTGCCACCCGGGGGGGGAGGAGGGGCGGTTATTGTGGCAAATGGTGTTTGCACTGCGCCGTCTGATTCGATTCCAGCCAGTTTGCGGGTAATTCATCAGCGGAATAGAACTCATGGCCCAGACTCCGACTCCCCAGACCGATGTATGCACAAATGTTAATTTAATTCTGGCTCTGGATCGATGGAAATGGTCAACCCTAATGGTCAGCAGGGCCATTACACTCCGACAAATGTGAATATTATAATGGTGGAGTCTAGAACAAGTGTTGGGCATAATGGCAGCTAGTCCAGACCATGTAGACAAATGGAAAATGCATTGAAACTCTCCTTCAACTGCATCAGGAAGGCCCGAAGGAATAGCAATATTAATCATACGCCATGTATGCCCAACACACACGCCTCCGATATCTGTTGCTGGGAGCAGCCACAAATTAGCAAATCGGACATAAATTGACTAATTACGGCTAAAAGCAAGTGCTGTTCAATATTGGCTATATATCTACCCTCCCCTCCCCTTACAAGGCCCTGACGTTGAGGTGAAAATGATGATTTAATGATTGGAAATGGATGAAAACTGTGGCAAACTAATATCCCCACCAGACTCCCCCCCACTTGCCTTTCGAATTAAAATGCAAATGCAATTTCCATCGAAAATTTATTGCTTTAATGAGCGCCGCCGCAGCTGCAATTAAAAAATCAAGCACCGCCACACGCTGCAATAACCCGAGCCTCAAGGCCCCCAGTGCTCCAGCTCCAGCTCCGGGGGTGCCCGGCCAGGCACCAGATCTTCAAAATTTAATTAAAGGCGACTTGCATAATTCCCACAATCGAATCGGGGCTTTCCCAGCTCGTAATTAGATTCTGGAAGTTTCCTTCATAGCTAGCCAGAGACCCAATCGATGGGCATTGGCGACTGGCTTCCACTCCCAGTCCCTAACAGTGTCCTGCTCCTCATCGCCTCTCTGCAGGATTTCGGTGGCTGGTAATTGAAAGGCACACAAGTGCCTAGTGCATCAATTAGCAAAGCAAACGCAGCCACTCGGCCGGCAAAGACAAAGCGCAAACCAAGCCAGGACCTCCTCCTAGCCCTCCATCCTCCTCCTAGCCCTCCAGCGAGTGCATTTTATAAGTTTCCCAAACCAAACCGAGTTTTTATCTCTCGGCAAACAGTTGGTAACAGTCGCAGCACCGCAGCACAAAAACACAATGAGTGCCGGCTTTTGTCCTCAATGGATCACTCCACGCCCTGCCACAGCCACCGCCTCGTCCTCCTCCTCCTCCGTCCAGGGCCCAGCCCATTCATTGCCATGCAAATGCGACGGAATTAAAGGATTTCCCAGCTGCCGCCTCCTCCTCCATTTGTTTAGTATCGCCGCTGCCGGCTTTTATTGACTTTTCGCGTTTAACTTTTCATTTTCACCCTGTTGAGGACCCCGGGGAGGACCCATCGGACCACCATCGGGGGTGGACGCCGAAAAACTTTCTCCGTTAAATGTGGAAACAGCCCGGGGCGCTTTAAGCGGTTCATGCTTGCAACACCTATCTGCCACGCCTCGTATCCAGTGTTTCTTTCGAGGAAGGGAGTATCTATCGTGAGACCACCCAGACCCTAAGCTGGTGAGGAAGGATAGTTGGGAGCTTGCTGGATATATTTCATAAATAAATAGGCACTGAGTAGACATAGGGATCGGTTAGGCGCATCGTCGGCGGGCGGGTTCTAGGCTGCGGCTGCGGTGGAGCTGGGCTCGGTGGAGTTGGACCCGGTGGTGCTGGCCTCGACGGTCGAGTTGGCGGCGCTGCCCTCCGTGGAGTGGCCGGCTGCCAGGGTGGTGTTGGTCTGCTGGCCGGTCTGGCCCTCGTGGTGACCCCCGGCCAGGTGGACAGCGTGCTGGTGGGCTCCCTGAGGGGCTCCCAACTGGACACCCGACTGGGCGACGTGGAAACCTCCCTGGGCGGCTCCCTGGACGGCAGCCATGGCAAACAGAGCCAGGAGGACGATCAGGACGAAGGAACGCATGTTGCTGGGTGGCTTGTTGTGGTGGTATGGCTCTGCTTGGAGGAGAACTCGAACTGTGAATACCACTGACCACTGGGTGTGCCTTTTTATACTCTCCACTGGCCACCACTAGCCACTGGAAGCAGTGGTTTCTCTGAAAAGCAGGTGTGTCGCTACACAGATTTCCCGGGAAACTCTCAGTCACTAAATAATCGAGAAACAGAAGGGGATCGAGTTCCTCTTTCTGGATTCTTGGCGATCCAGTTGTTTAGGTCTGGGGCTGGTCTTTGGGAACCTGATCGGGGGTTACCCACCTCCCAAGTCTTACGTATGAATCTCTTTCGTCACCAATTCGGGGGTGTAACTGGCAGCTGTTGGCCCTCAACCAATATTTGCCAGAAGAACTTGAAAATATTTGTCTACAACGTCAACAGCTGGGTGTTCCGTAATGAGATCTCGGAAAACATTTGCTTTCTTGGGGCTTACAGAGCTCGGTTCTGGCTCTGCCTCCGACACTGGATAGCCCGGCTGTCGAGAGCCCTTCTTCCAGCCCTCGAGCCCTGTTCTCCGCCGTGAAATTGTTTTCACACGTAGCGTTTTAGAATGTTCTTGGCCCGCGGCGGCGAGTCCTGGGAGTGGAGTGCCATGTAATGTGGCAGCCAGCAACCCCTCCCTGCTCCTGCTCCTGGTCCTGCCCCTGCCCCTGCTCCTCATTTCCATCCTGAATCGAGCTGAGCTGGGCTGACGACACGCCATGAAGCGGCTTGTGCGCATTTTGGCTCAACTGAGCCTTTCCAAGCCCACGTGGCGGATACTTAACTGCCGCCGACTGCATTCACTTTGCCGCTTAATCGGAAAAAAGAGGAAAATGGAAACGGAAAAGTGGAAAAAGCGCAAAAAGCGAGAAAAGCGAAAAAAGGACGACCGACCAAGCTGCATGGAATATTTATGATTATTTTTTCAATTTCACTTCGATCGCTCCGGTTCCGGCCTTGGAAAATTTCATTTGCTGCATTTCACCGACGCGGCTGCTGCTCATCCTGATTTTCCCGACAGAGGAAGCCAGGATGTGTTTTCCTTTCAATTTGTGCAACTAAAACGTGCAGCGGCGCGGTGGCAGGGGGGCGGGTAAAGAGCTCTGTCGGGTATAGAGGTGGGCGGGGGCTTCCTGCCACCACCCTCCTCCCATGCACTGCGAGAAATTCCCATTTATTCTCAATTGGAGCCTAAAAGGACTTTTTAGTTGAAGCTTTTATGCTGGCCTCCTCCTCTTAGATGATTTCCCCCCTCCCACTCGACAGGAGACAACTAATTCCACCTGAGGGTAATGTGATTTCCTATCCACCCCCTCCGACATGGCAGATTACATTCTTCCCCGGCATTTCTGCGTGTGCTCCACAGCAGCCTTCATTTCTCAAAAGCGCGAACTTAGTCTGCCAGCTCATGTGTTCGACTGCGGCCCTCCACTTGGCCCTTGCCACCTCCTGGCCTGGTGCTGGTGCTCCTCCTGGTTTATGTGTTTCACTAACCAATTTGCGCTATGCGCTCGCCGTGATTTACAGTTCCCCAGTGAGCTGTTTTGCTTTCCCGCCACTGGCAGCCCTTTGGATGGGCAGCCCCCCCCAACCACCTACCCCGATCATTATATCGAAAATCATCCAGAGATGAGGTCCTCCACACCATACCATATCGATATATTCCGTCCATATATGGTTTCTCTACTTCCCTGATCTTTTGGTGAAGGCTGGAGGGGATTGTAGCCCTGATTCGGTTAGGAATTAGTTGGGAAATGGCCGAGATATCCAGAATAATCCACAGGCATGGTCCATATCCATGCTCCATATCCATATGCTCCAGAGAAAGAGCTGACACACTGGCCCAGAGCAGACTCCTCGACGGGTTGAAGCGCCACTCAACCGGGGCATGCTAAGCTGCCACTGGATGCAGTCAGTTTGCTGTCGTGGCTGGGCAGGATTACGGGAGGAGTGGGAGTGGGAATGCAAATCAATTGATCATTTCGTCAGTCCACAACTGACGGACCTCCCTCTGTGGCGAAGCTCTTTAGTGGCCGGCAAGTGGCCGCTTCGCTGGGTAGCGAGTGGGACTTTGTGCCGCATTTCGTGATCCACCGCATGTGCGTTTGCCCCACTGCTCCCATTCAGAGCTGGCTATTTGGGGGCGTGGGGCATCCCCCCTTGGTGGCAATTGGCGGGGGCCCTTGAGAAAGCGACGCGAAAGTAGGGTGCATTCATGAATTCGACGAGTGGAGGACCATGCACCAGAATGTTGCATACTTTTAGCGCGATGGCTGCTCTGAGCTCAGAGGGTGTGGCAACGATTAGAGCCGATGGCTTTAAGTGCAACTAGGGCTTCTTGCAAGAAGTTTTATTGAAAGATATCGGGGAGAATAAATAGAGTGGGTTTTAAATAGTGGTGGTGGTGGTATTAGGCGGAGGCCACAGTAGTGGTGGTGGTGGCTTCGGTGGTGCTGTCGTCAGTGATGCCTGCCTCGGTGGTGCTGTTGCAGGGAAGAGTGGCATTCGGAGGCAGGCTGGGCAAACCGCTTAGGGTGCCGTTCTGGGGACCTCCCTGGGGTCCACCCTGCTGGCCTCCTTGGGGTCCTCCTTGAGGTCCTCCCTGCTGAGCTCCCTGCTGGCCATTCTGGGCTCCTCCTTGCTGGCCGTTCTGGGGTCCTCCCTGCTGGCCGGCAGCCATGGCAACCACGGCGAACAAGGCAATCACGATGAGGAAACGCATTTCTTTAATTTTTGGATGCTGTGCTTGGCTCGAAGGGAACTCGGACTGCTGTGATACCTTTCCCAGCGCCACGCCGCTTATATACTCTTGAAGCTTTCCCATTTTCCCACTCAAGTAGTAAGTCCCCGCAGTAAGTCCCCCGAAAAACAGCTGCCACTTGGCGGCGAGTACGTCACTGACATCAAACAAGATGGAAATACCGGTGCGGAGTAAGCTACGTGCGTGGTCTCGGAGCTGAACTTGGTTGGGTTTAGTCTGTGACTCACTCCGCCTTGTGGCTCCAGCAGCTGCCTCGCTTTGGGCTTCTGTTTGCTTTCTTTTCTTTTCGAGAAGAATTGAAAGTTTCTGCGGATCGCTAGCTTGGGTCTTTGTCGTTTTTCAAGGTAATGTCGAGGACGAATTTCCAGAAATGAAGTCGAGAGCGATGAACTCCGTAAACTAATATGTAACTAGCTAGTAAGAGCTAGTAACATACAAGCCAGAGTCTTCTAATAAAGCCATCTTCAGATAGTATCCCCAACTTCGTCAAAAGATATAAACAAAGAAGGAAGATACACCCCCAACCTGCCCGAGAAACCAGAACGTATGGCTTAATTATGACCCTCCCCCACCCAGCCACCCCACCCCAGCCCACTTCCGGTGGCCATGACTAGTCCATCCATAACCGAACCTAATCAGAGACAGTGCTCCCAGTTCGAATCTGAAGCCAAGTGAGAAATGTGGGCCGCGATGGGAACTGGGCCGATTATCAGTGTCCTTGCGGGATGTGGCCGATTTTGTGGGAGGATGGGGGGATGGGACGTGGGGTGATTCATCCCCGAGACGGCAACTGTTCAATTATTTTTGGCTATTCATCGAACCAGTGGGCCCTTGTCTGCGATGTTAAGGCGACGGAAATGTATCTTAAAGTCTGTTTGAAGACGCTGGGCGGCGGGGTGCCGTAAAATTTGATTTTAATTGAATTTCTCATTTCGGCGACGGGCCTATTCAGGGGGGCGGGGCGGGCCGTGGCAGATTAAATTTGCCGCTAAATGAGCTAAATGCGATTAAACTGGGGCCGACACAGACAGAGACGCGGGCTTGGGCCCGGGCCGACCTCACCCTGCAGTAAGTATCTTAAAGACGAAGCTCTTAGCGGCACTCGGTCGGAGCTCTTGCGGCACATGCCACATATGCCACGGGACTAAATCAATACCATTGTTTGGGCCTACTTGCCACAGCTCCTGGTTTGGGCCTTGTGGTCTGCGATGTCCAACTGGGGAGGACAATGGGCCTGGCTTCTAGAGGGGACTATGTCCTGGAACTAAACTCCCGACTGAACTGAACAGGACATTATGGTTTCTGATTAAAATTATACTTTATAAGGATAGCGAAGGATAATGCATCAGTGAAGACTAATTTCGAAAAGGATATTTATATTTCTGATTGTTGGTCCTCCAAAATGGAAGCAGAGAGCTAAACGCCTTCAGCCCACAAACATTGTAGAGCCCCCGACCCTGGTCCCCCCACCCTTGTCGACAACCCGACCCACAAACGGTCCTGCGACTAACTGGGTCCCAGTGGGTCCTGGATTTGCATTCGGCCCGGGACCTGATTGGGGATGCAGGAGCGACAACAAGTTGTTGTCCTGCCTCCGTTTGCGGGCAGGACACTGGGAAGCCCAGGCTCAGAGTCGACACTGCGGCAGCTGCGGTCAGGCCGCCTCCGACAAAGTCAAAAGAGGCAAGAAGGAGCCGAAAGGCAAAGAGTTGATAGTCTCCTCTGGCGGCTCGTCCTCCTCCACTCTTTGTTTTATGGGGCTGCGGAGTCAGCATTTCAATAGCTCCTCCAGCTGATGGCTGCTTTGAGTTGCGACTTCTGGGAGGGATTGGCCTTCCTGGCTCTGGTTCTGGTTCTGTTTTTATTTACATACAATTTGCCAGTTTATGGCTGACAAGAGCTGCTTTGGTTGCGCCCTCTTAGGATAAAAACCCGGCCTGTTCCTGCTCCTCCCCCTGCTTCTGCTCCTGCCCCTGCTCCTGGTCCTCCCCCTGCCCCTTCTCTTTGTCATCAAATATATGTTATTTGTATTTATTGATTTCCAAGTGAAAACATTATTGAGGTTGGCCTCTGCCTCGGCATGAAAATTGTTGCGTACCCCAGCCTGGGTCTGGATCTGGATCTGGGTCCTGGGCCTTGAAAACAACAACAAAAGGACTTCATTATTATTGGCTGCAGTGTGCGGGTCCTGTGGGTTGTGGATTGTGGGTGGTGCGTGTGTGAGCTGCCAAACTGATTAAATTGAATTTCATATGCAAAAGGTGAAACTCAATCAAGAAAACATAAAGGAGATACACAGGAAGAAAAATCTTCCAGTTTATACTCTTGGAAGTAACCTTCCAAGGACCGTACTTCCATAGGATTCACAAACTCAGTCCTTGTTTCTCTCAGTGCCTGAATTAGAGCCCGGATCTAGGGAGCGCGTGTTTGTGAATGAGACTTTAGATTAACCAAAGCCGAGCAGGGCTTTGCGGCTTTGTTGTGCGGCAGTGATATGCTCCGAGCCGTGCCCCGTGCCACCTGCCCTTCGTCCTTCGTCCTTGGCCAGTGCCCTCGCATCCTTTCAGATTGGAATTAACAGCAAAATGGAAATTAAAAGCCACTCGGCCGAAGGAAACTTGCTGGAAGCCATTGAGAATTTAATGCCCGCCTGGAACTTTAAAGCCCTCTCCTCCCCCCCTCACCCGGGCACTTAAAAGAGAGCTTGCGGTTTAATGGCCGAAGCTCTCATAGGTGATAATTTCATTTCCCAAAATCAGGAACCGAGACTCGAACTCCTCATTCCACTGCTCTCTTCAGTACTCCTCACACGGACACTCTCCCCCCCACACACACCTTCAACCTGAGCCTCATATTCAGCTAATACAATTTTAATGAAATTACGAGCGCCTCTCCTCGCCTCCTCCTCTCTCCCGCCCTCTTACCGCTCGACCCTCTCGTAATAATCACGGCCGAAAATTTTATGCCGCCTACGTGGCAGAGCAGCGAGCCACTTAAGAGAAGAGCGCCGCATCGCAGCCGGGAACTCAAGTGGAGCATAAAAGAAGCTATTAGCTGGAATATTATTTCGCCATTCTCGCCCCACCCCCTCTTCTACCCCTCCATTCGACCCCTTCTGCAGGCGCCGTTCACCGTTACCCGTTTCCTCTGCTCGCTTTTCATAGCCCATTCGTGGCGACGAGAACACGCACGTTCCGCCAACCATTTTGCAAGTGCACTGATAAAAACTCCCCCCTGCTCCCCCTTGAAATATTGCATTGGAAATGTAAATTTTTCCTACTCACGTGAACGTATTGTTGCAAATGCCCTTCATTTGTCATTGGGGTGTTTTTGAGGAGGAAATAGATGGAATTGATGACTTCCAATTAGAATGTGGGAATATTCTTTTATCTTTTAGTTTATGTTGCATCACTGATAAGAATATATGTCCAGCACTGTTATTTGATTCACTTGCCACCATTACTTGCACTAAATTATAAAAACTTAACTCCGAACGCACTAAAATTAAATATTCTTCCCTCCGATCGCCGACACGTCCGATCGCGGCCATGTGACTACTTTTTGTGCATTCCAGAACTTGACCGTGCGAGCTTTTGTAATGAGAGCCATTCAAGAGTCAAGGGCAGAGAGCCGCCATGTTTTGGGAAGAGATCACAGCAAAGAGCGTCATTTTTTCGGGATGTACTTTACAAGACAATTAATGGAAAACAGAAAGAGTGGCTCTTGTTTCCAGTGCACAGATTCAGGTTCCCTTGTAAACGTTTGATAATGAACACACACATACGTTCATCCATACATGTGTGAGTGTGCATTAATGATGCATTGCATCTGCTATCCCCCGTGCCAGCTTAAGAGAGTGCGCATCGCTTAATTAGAGGCGAACTGCGGCCATGGGGCTGATGAGGTGGGGAGGGAGGGGGGTGCACGTGTACTTGGACTAACTTCTTGTCGCGGAATTGGAAGAGCGCAAGTTTTGATTAAAGTTTCATTCCCAGCCAGAGATGAGCTTTTGTTTTCGACAATTACTATTTTTTAATGAAAACCAAAAATGGAGAAATATGAAAATAAATCAGAATATTCTGAAGATTTGAAAGTTTCCTCAAAGAGCGTATTAAGAGGACCCGGCCTTTGAGAGGAATGCGCATCTCTGGCCAAAGTTGTGAGCCGTGACGTATAATTAAAACTTACATACTTTTGCCCTTTGCCACGCCCCTTGCCACGCGCCTCCTTTGTTGTTGGCCATGTTGATGCCAATGGAAATATTTATCAAGTCGCTGCGCTGCAGGTGGCAGGAAGGCAGGAAGCTGCGTTTGCAGCAGACAGGCATGCATGTTGCAGGTGCGTGTGACTGGGCGGGGGAGGGGCGAGGGGTCGAGTGTCAAGTTGGCACTCGAAAAGCCACTTGTTCTCCCGAAAAGTTTAATGAGGCGAGCCCGGCGAGAGTTTGTCGCTGATTTTGACGCCTTGGCTTAGAGCCCCCCCGCCTCCCCCTGTCTGGTCTAATTAAAATTCCAGCGGCTGCCCAAATTAATGGCCAAAAGGCGCTTTAATGTCCGCCAGTATGAACGAGCCAACAGAGCGATCTGTCGCAGCTTCCGGCCACATCCTGGCACAGCCTTCCCACTCAGAAGCTGCGAGAGGCGGCCCAAACAATGCGGTGGAGGACTCGGACTGGGGCGACACCCAGTGACCGCACGGCTCGTTTGCTTCATTTGCAGTGGAATGGATGCACAACCGCAAATCAAACACAGCAACGAGTCTAGCCTAAGGGGAATGGGCCATGAGGCATGGGGCATGTGGCACGGATATCATATGCCATAAGAAATATGCAACCAACCGGCTGGCCGGCAGGCAGGGTTATTTGATGTGTCCTGTCGGCCAGTTAGCACTTGGCCCTTTTTTTCGGTCGTCCTGCCGGGTCGTCCGCATCCTTTTTAATGGAAATTCCAATCGAGTTCTGTT